ACAAGGAGAGAGGAAGAGTAAAAAGACACAAAGCCAAAATCCAGTCGAGCCGGATGTTGAAGGTTAAGTTAAACTTAAACCCATTAAGAAAAAGCAAAGTCCATCCTAAGAGGAAAATCGAGCAGGGCAACACAGAGAAGAGCAGCCCAAAGAAGAGTAAAGGTAAAAGATATGATGGAAAGGAAAGGGAAGATAGGGATCGGAAAGGAAGCTTGGGTAAAGACAAAAAAGGTAGCAACAAGAAAATTGAGAAATCTTCCAAGGCTAAAAGGTCGATTGAGGATGGTGAGGAAGAAAAGGAAGAAGAAGAGAGCGAAGAAGGAAAGAAGAGCAAAACGTCCACAAAGCAGAGAGGAAGTTCTTCCAAAAAGGGGCAAAGCAGCAAGGGAAGTTCAGATGTTGACCAGGGTGAGAATACACACCTTGAGAACTCTACACTTGGCAACACCACCAACACTGATCACCAACCAGGATCAGGTACAGGTACTGGTCAGGGGCAAAGCCTGCAGGGTGGGAATATCCAGTATCAAGGAGCTGGACTGGTTCTGGGGAGTGCTCACCATTCCTCATCCCTCTCTGCCACCAACAGGAATCAATCTATCAAACCCTCCCTGATTGGTCCAGGAGGCTCTCAACTGACTGGCAGCACCTACTCTCCTCAAGGAGGCCATTTTTTCCTCAACACCATGGCCCCAAGGTCTACTGCACCCTTCCCCAACAGTTCAGCTGCTCCTAACACGGCAATCGGTCCCAACATGGCTCCAAGTGGAGCACAAGACAGCTTCATCAGACAGTCCGGGGCAGGCCTCATGCCTCCTGCTGCCTCTCTTCAAGCTAATGCGGTACATGCTAACCCTTTGCAATCAAGTGCAATGCAAACCTTTCCTATTCATACCGCCCAGCCTGCAGGACTAGCCTCAGGCTTGCCAGCAAACCCAGCTGTTGCTGCACCAGTGCAGTCCTCTTTGCAGGGCCATCTGCCTCCTGACAGCTCTCCTCTTGTTGCAAGACTGAAATCAGATCCGGTCCAGGGACCAGGCCTGCAGACTGGGGATGGGGTTCATCAGTTGCCAACCAAAGAGAGTCCCAGTGACCCTCCTCAGGCCCCTCCGGGCGTTGAGGTTTTGTCTGGGGTTACCCATCAGGACCCTCCTGGACCAGTGATCACTGTAGAGAATCTGTCAAACAGTAAAAGTCAGACCAAGACTGGACATGTACCTGCTGCGTCCACAGTTGAAGGACTTGCAGCAGGGGGGTCAGGAGGAAGCATGCATTCATCAGATGTGCCTGATTCAGGTGTAGGTGTACCCAACCCAAGTGTTTCCTCCACGAGTGACGCAGTTGTAACTCCTGCACTGCTGCAGCAGGAGTATCTGTCAGAGGAAGGGGGATCCTCCCCCAGGAGGAAACTGAGACTGGTTCTTCCTGAGAAGACGTCCAGCCGACCACCTACTGCACTGGAGAGGAAAATACGCTAGCTTCTTCTTATGGATCTTTTAGCTTCAAAGAGGTCAAAAGCAATTGATTTAAAAATTAGTTTAATAATGTAACTGAGAGAAATGACTTTATAGGTTCTTAATGGGATGTGCCCTGCACCAAAACTCTGAAAAATGAGACAAAATGCATTAACATACAATGTCTTTAAAATAATATGACCATCAACCTGAACAGGAAACAAACTGAACCAGCAGTGACTTTGACCTGAGTGCTGGGTGAAGCAGGTTGCAGAGACTTTTGTGTCACTGCCGGGTTAAGTTTCAGTTTTGGCAACGAGATGTCTGTTTGCAGTGTGTCGTGTTTCACTGGTCACACTGCCGACCTCTAAATGGTGCCTACAGGCATTTCGGTGTACGCTAACCAAACCTATTCCATCTGATGTCTTAACCAGAGCTGATGTTTCCACATGCAGAGCAGAACCCTGAGTCCTCTGTCATAAACAAAACAAACAATAAACATGTTATTATGTAAAAAGGGGCCGTGTGTAGTATGTTACAACATTGGTACTTGTATGTGTGATTAGATCCTGATGAGCAGGCACACACATAGCAGCCTCTGAGTCTCTGTGTGAATGAATGAATGTTTATGATCAGCAACAATGATTCTCATGAACATGTGAGATGATGAAGCACAAGAGCTCCAGGAAAGAGACGAGCCTGAATTTATTTAAGTCATGAAAGCCGTTGTTTTGTCATTATCACATTCATTTCATAATTACATGTGCTTGCAGAAAAAATACTTTGCGCTTCTTTTTCACAGGACAGGCGAGTAGGAGACAGACTAACAACAAAATATGCAGACAAACTCACACACAGTAACTTGCAAAAAATACATTTATTGGCTGTTTTTTTTGCTCGAGTTTGTTTGCATTGTTTTTCTTGTTAGAAATTCTCTCTACATTTCACAACAATCATTAAATCAAATGCTCTGAGAAAAAAAAAGAAATAATAATAAGACATGTCGGGTGATCACAGGTCTGTAATTTGCCTCATTCATTATTTTTGTTAATCACTTTCTTTCTACATATCTGCTTTCATGCTCACTCTGCCTGTTCACCCTATGACATAAAGCATTTCTCTTCCTCATGATCTCATATGGACTCATCTTCCAGCGTGAGTGAGGACGATGATGTATTGAGGGTTGGTTCTGGTATTATTTGACAGCTGGATACTCTCAAAATCTACTTCCTTCTTTCTTGTTTGTCTAACTTTGCCTTTCACATTTCTGCATGACTCATCGTTATTCTCAATCCCTGCACCAAAAACGTGACAGTTTTGGTGCAAAGCATGCAAAGTTGAGTGATTATTGAAAGTATATAGGGATTGAGTGTTTATTTATTTTTTACAACACTATTGTGAACTGCTTTGAACTGTAAATGATCTGTGCACCAGATTTGAGGAGAATGTACCTTTTTATTTGAACTCCTAAAAGATATGTAGTGCAGCTCCTTCTTGTTGCCATAGGGGGGCGCTGTTTACCTTCAAAGGCATGCTATGCCTCCATGTCACTGTAATATCTTTTTTTTTTTCAGAGATGGAAGGGAAATGTCACTGGCTGGCAAACAAATACAAATTAAAGAGAAGAATCTGATCTGCCATGTGGACGACCTAAGTATTCTGCAAAAGACAGCAGTTTTTTGACATTTGGTATCATCTTTCAAAATATCAAAATAGTCAAATGTTTAGGACTGTCACTCATGAGAAACCTTCACATTGTGTGGAGCCGGAGGTTTTTTATCAACATTTTAGAAGAAAGTTTCTAGTCCTGATAGTGGAGATTATCAGGACAAGACTCTTTGTTTTCCGCACCTAAAATAAAGAATTGTTACTAAATATGAGCGTGCACTTACACCTGGACTACAACACCAACACAACCTATTGTTAGCAATGTAAGTGTGTTCCCAGGCATTCTTGTGTTAGATGCAAATGTTAAATGCAAGAAAGGAAAAGCCTGGTGGGCTCTGACTCACCCCCACGCCCACTGCAGGTAGTTTTTTTTAATTTAAAAAAAACATAAAACTGCATTTAAATTGTGATTTATTCAAATGCCAACACTATGAGCATCACTTTGGACACAGTTTCTGATCTTTCTTTGTGTTGCTGTTGTAAAATGTATGGATATTGATTATTCATTATGATGCATGCAAGTGTCAATCAGACGGATAACCAGAGGATGAGGACAACTGGAGCTCCTGTTGAACCATTAACACCATACCATTGACTCAGACTGCAACATGAGGCAAGCCATCACTCGGATGTTCTTCACCTGCTATGTTTTAACCACAGACTGTACAAACATGGGCGTGGTGATCAGTGATGTCACCCATTGGTTTCTGAGGCCATATTGAAAACAGTGGCTCAAACTAACTTTCTGTCAACCTAGTAACAACAAAACAAAAACAAAAAAATTTCAACAAAGAGTTCTGTATATTTAAGGGTGTGGCAGAGGTCCTGCTCCAGAAACAAATGGGTAATGTCACCCTGACTGTATACATTTAATATACAGTCTATGATGATGTCATTGTAACCTGGGTGTTCATGACTCTGGAGCAGACAGCCTCAAGTGGACACTCGAGGAACTGCATTTTTTTTTTTGCACTTCTTTGCTTAATTTTTTAACACTGCAGGTTGATGCTGGGGTTTAAGCTTGTACCTGACATAACACTTGTGGATAGTAAGAATGTTATTGTGGATATCTGAAATGCTGATTTTAAAAAAGGACAAATTGCACTGCAGATACCTGAGATGTATATCCAGTCTAGCTTTTAAATGTTAAAACCGCTCACCACAGGAGACACTGAAGCAGGAAAGTTGTGGACGTTTAAACATTGCACTGAAAAAAAGGTCAAAGGATGGGAGGTAACTGCAGAGTGTAACCATACAGCTGTAAAATGACTAAATATTTTATATCATCTGACAAATAGCACTAAAATGTTTCATTTGTTTTGTACATTGAGGGGATGTAATTCATTGTATCAAATGTGCACTAAATTAAAAAGTACAGTCACAGAGAGTCAGAGAAATAATAAAATAACAGTAAAAATGAAACTGAACATAGTGCCGGCTCATTCATCGGACAACAGTCCTGATCCCAACTGTGCATGTTGTTCCCCTCTCTCTCCTCTACATTTCCTGTCTCTCTGTATCTGTCCTTTCCACTAAAGGCCAAAAAATCTTCTTTTAAACTGTGATCTAGAAGTTTCTCAGACTTGACTTAATCTGTGGAGCACACGATGTAGAAGTTTTATTAAAAACTACAAGAAAAAGTGTATTTAAAACTTCTTGACAGGCCCTGATCCGAGCTAACGTACAGAGGTTAAAAATACATATTTTTAAGACTTCAAAGACTTTTTGTTTTTTACAGCTTTGCTACCTTGAGGCCAGCGGGACACAAAAACAAAGTGTGCTGTGTCGCAGTGGAGCTAAAGGTGTACATTATTATGTGCAGGTAATTAAAGCGACTGTCACAAAGCGTTCAGAAATAAACAGCATGAAAGAGGCAGGTTTGGGAGTAATGGCTGCACATCAATGCAGCCCTGACTTTATTCTCAAACACATTATTAGAATCTAAAAATAAGAAAATCTTCATGGTTGTTGTTGCCCAGAGTCCTTTCATCTGCCAAAAAACACAATAATACAAAGAGATACAGGGCGAGAGAGAGACGTCTCTCATTATCTTCATCATAATTAACACTAAAAACAAAACTTGATTTGAGTAAAAGAACAACATTAAAAACAGCCCACCCAGCAACAGTTATAGTTTTTTTTTGTTTAAATAGCCTCTGTACACAGAGAAAAAGAGATGACAAAAGAGACCATGCAGACCAATCAAAAACACTCTCTCTCTCTTCTCATTAACACTTCACACACTCTCACACACACTCACGCAGTCTGGATCAGAATCAATATCATCAGCAGACATATGCCAGGAGGAGCAGGCTGTCATCTTACAAAGAAGTATTTTTGTTTCTTTTTTTTTTTTCCAACAAAGAATTGTTTGACATTTCATCATTTCAAGGACTAAAATACATCGGATTCCTACCAGGCAGATCTGAGAACGAGGACAGCTCTTTAATCGTACACGATTATTCACGGTCAGCGCTGGGTTAACAAACAAACAGCTTCAGGTGCTGCTCCACCTCTTCCTCCTGTTTGTCTTCAGCTCAATAAAGCAGTGTGAATTCTTTTTTTTGCTGATCAGAATCACAAATATGATTTCTGTCTCTACTGACAGCGAGTCGCACGCAGGGTCCGAAATTAACTTTTTGACTCACCGGCCAAGAAGGCAGGTAGATGAAAAAAATTCACCGGCCAAACATATTTTTTTACCGGCCAAAATGACAAATTGTGTTTTTGTGTCCTATACGCATGTGTTACAGTGCATTTAATTGAGAAGGCATTATGTCCTGTTTAATCAATAACAGATTTAAGTCACAGATTCGATCATTTCATCAGATCAGGAAATTGAGAAATTGTAAATTGCTGGCCTTTTTTTTTTTTTTTATGTATTATTTGTAGGCAGCAGTGAAATGTACTCTCCAAACGAAAAAACTACCCGCATTTGGCGCTTGGCGGGTGTTCATTTCGGACCCTGTCCACACGGCATCGACGCCAGTGAGAAACACGATTGGTAGTATTTGGTTACAAACCGTCTGTTCATGAGCTGTGAGTTCTCTTCACTATGGCTGTACACAGCGACTAGGAGGTTCAAAATCAATTGGCTTTAATAGACAGCTCAAACATTTATGTTACAGGATTTACACTTGCTCTGCGGAGCCTTTTGGGACTGACGCTGAACACCATCTTTACATTTTCAGGAGCTAGGTGTAAACTTTAAGGGCAGACAGAAAACTAGACTAGAATATATTTTCTGATCATAAACACCTATAATCATGGTTCACAGCACAGGACCCGCCCCACCTCTCCTTGTACACACACATTTTCAATTTGAATCATAGCACTTAAGACTATAAATAAGTAATACCGGTCATCAGACCAGCCGTGAGGATGTAGGGATCTGAACATAAGTACTTCCTCATGTTCTGATCACAGTTGTCCCTTTAGAGACGGACTGGTAATGAGCTGATTTTTCTACTGTTTGGCCTTAAGTATGAAGTGCTAAGCACCTAAGTGCACGCTTAAGTGGTTTTGATGAGTCCACTCAGTCCTCTGTGGGATCAGGTTGCAGGAGGCTGGTCTGGGCTTCATGTGGAGATGAGATTAGAGGTTTCCTTGGTGTGGCAGTAGAAGGGCATGGTTGTAGTTTGGTGTCACTTTGTCTTGAGATTAGCTCAGATACAGATGTTTGTCTCTCTGAAGACCTCTGCAGGAAAAGAAGGAGGAGAGAGTTAGTCCACAGGATTGAGTCCACTAGATGTCTCATTGTTTCATACATCCAGGATAACAGCAGAACATCAGGATGACACATCTTCCAATTGAAGGTTTTAGAAATTAACATTTCTTAAAGGCTTTATATTTTTTTGATCCAGCAGAAGTCGCCCTTGAGCACCGGCATGAAACCAAAACAACTTGCGCTGCATTGTTGTGTTAGCATGCTAATGCTAGTGATCTTTATTATGCTGGTATCTTCACACTGCATGTAAATTTACCTGAAATGAGCGTGATCTAGAAACACAGTTAAGCAGTGAGTACAGTATGTTATTCTTCTTTTCTCTAGTCCCTCAATTAAACAACTTTTATACATGAGGGGAGGAGTCAGCCGGCCGTCCTGCCGATGTAAACAAAGTGAAGATAGGACTCTGAAAACTCTGAAAACATCACAGACAGTGGGACTCGGGTGTTACACCCATTGTAGACAGTCATGACTCACAGAGTTATTTTCAGAGGATATACTTGATTTATATTACATTTAAGTGTGAAAAATCACATAGAAAAACTTTAAACAGCTGTGTTAAATAGTTGATTCTGATTAGCCAATTACCCATATCAACAGTTTGCTATATCTGGATTACATAAGTAGCTGTGTAATAAGTGAGGGATACTCTATAGTGGAGGACCCCCTGAGGGTAAGACAAAACCCTTCCCCTTCATGTCTGGGCCCTGCTCACCCTGTCGGGGTTCCACTCCATTAAAACAACCTGCTCACTATACTCGTGTAAACGGTCCGTCAGCGCCCATTCACACTGGATCCGTTTCTGGAATGTGAGCGCAGCGGAGCGCACCCATGACACATCACAGGAGAACTACAAGATCCCGCGGGAATAAAGAGAAAAACATGCAAACAACATGTTGCTTTGTCTCTCTGAGGGTGCATTGTTGTTCAATCGGTTCCTGTTTTGACGTCATGTTGATAAAGTGATGAAAAATACGACCGGGAGTCTGTATATTGAGTTTTATTTTGAAATTGACAGGATGCCTTGTCTGACTTCCTGTCCGGGCTCTCATATTCCGTCGAACTTGACACGTGCCTGCAGCGTCGATAATAGACTCGCTGCGTATTTGAAACGGAGCAGAGCATAGTGGCGTTGGTGGCTCGCTCCAGAGACGGACTGCGGCGTCCGCTGTGTGAGCACAATGATTGACTAGAGTGGAAGCTAACCACAGCGTAGTGCGTATGTGTGAATTCTGGGTTAAGAGTTGTAGGTCAGCGCTCTTCTTAGATTAAATTGAACAGCTGGACAGTAATACATACCCGTTGCCATGGTAATCAGTGCTCCAGTCCAGAGAGGGGTGGTGGTTTGGTGTGTGTCGACCCATCTGGTGGTAGTCCACTGATGATGACATCACTGCACCACCATTTAGCATACCTCCACCCATTGGCTGATAGTCAGACTGGTGGTAACCCTGAAAAAGAGAGAGACAATGAGTCATTCAACATTCAAAATTCAACATTATGTAAATGGTTAAATCGACTTGAGCTTGTAAAGCGCTTTTATATTCTTCTGACTACTCAAAGCTCTTTTACACCGCAGGTCACACCTACACATTCACACACTGATGGTAGAGGCTGCTGAATAAAGAGTCCATCAGTATTAACTCATCCATTCATACACATTCACACACTGATGGTAGAGGCTGCTGAATAAAGAGTCCATCAGTATTAACTCATCCATTCATACACATTCACACACTGATGGTAGAGGCTGCTGAGTAAAGAGTCCATCAGTATTAACTCATCCATTCATACACATTCACACACTGATGGTAGAGGCTGCTGAGTAAAGAGTCCATCAGTATTAACTCATCCATTCATACACATTCACACACTGATGGTAGAGGCTGCTGAATAAAGAGTCCATCAGTATTAACTCATCCATTCATACACATTCACACACTGATGGTAGAGGCTGCTGAGTAAAGAGTCCATCAGTATTAACTCATCCATTCATACACATTCACACACTGATGGTAGAGGCTGCTGAGTAAAGAGTCCATCAGTATTAACTCATCCATTCATACACATTCACACACTGATGGTAGAGGCTGCTGAGTAAAGAGTCCATCAGTATTAACTCATCCATTCATACACATTCACACACAGCCGACGAAGCAAAGGGAGAAATTTGGGGTTAAGTGTCTTGCTCAAGGACACATCGGACATGTGGCTGCAGGAGATGAGTGTCGAACCCCTGACCCTCCAGTTGAAATAGGACAAACTCTACAATAGATCCACAGCCATCACAAGAGAGACAACAGCGCCGTGTCTGTGTGCATGTCTGAATGTGTGTGTATGTGAAGGCCCCGCTGTTTCTCTAGAGTTCCTGATTCCTCAACACTGACGGCCGAGCTTCGTTGCGGCGCTGTTGCGGAATCACACTCTGAAAAAGGGCCAAAGAAAAGTTTTGTTTTGGTCCCAGAGACTGCCGCTTAAGTATGTACCCTAAGAGACGCATAGTATACCATTAAAGTCTTTCTATTTGATTTTTCACACTTAAATATAATATAAATGAAGTATATCCTCTGAAAATAACTCAGGGTGTAATACCCGAGTCCCACTGTCTGTGATGTTTTCAGAGTCCTATCTTCACTTTGTTTACATCGCCCGGACGGCCGGCTGACTCCTCCCCTCTTGTATAAAAGTTGTTTAATTGAGGGACTAGAGAAAAGAAGAATAACATACTGTACTCACTGCTTAACTGTGTTTCTAGATCACGCTCATTTCAGGTAAATTTACATGCAGTGTGAAGATACCAGCATAATAAAGATCACTAGCATTAGCATGCTAACACAACAATGCAGCGCAAGTTGTTTTGGTTTCATGCTGGTGCTCAAGGGTGACATCTGCTGGATCAAAAAATCACATATAAAGCCTTTAATGCCAAATTGCTGCTTTTGAGTTTTTCAGTGTATATATATATATTTTTTGCCATAATCAAAACACAACGACTAATGCTGTAAACAAAAATCCTTTAAAATGTATCTCAACAAGGTTTTTTATTTTTGTCAATGTTGAATACATTTTATTTATGCTTTTTAACAGAGACAGCGATGTTAATCACTTCCTTATCAAGGTCCTTTTTAATCAATCTCCACACCATGTGCATCACCTGTTTTCTATCTGTTCCTGTTGTCGATTAAACTACTTGTAGCAGCTCCAGCTTTAAGAAAGAAGAACTTCTTTTAAAAATCTGTCAGATATGTCACAGGATCATTACCAGTGATTTATGTTTCAAATGTCTTGCTGATTTTATCATCGGTCAAGGAGGAGAAGGAGGTGAGGACTAGGGAGGAGGAGATGTAAAGTTTAGAGGAGATAAGGAAGTAAGGGAACAAGAGTAGGAGGAGAGGGAGTAGGAGGTGAGCGTCTAACCAAAATATACTTGATGGAGCAGAGACAAATTCAAAAGAGGGGTAAACGAGTGGGTGCAATGTGAGGAGTGTGTTTTTGTGTGTGTGTGTGTGTGTGTGTGTGTGTGGGAGAGAGAGAGAGAGAGAGAGAGAGAGATAGAGAGAGAGATAGAGAGAGAGAGAGAGAGAGAGGGGAGGGGGAGGGAGAGAGAGAGAGCGAGAGAGGGAGAAGCTGAAAGGGAAGTTAATCTGAGTGTTGTGAGTGAAAGAGGAGAAAGAGGAGGACAGCAGGTGGTTGGGTTCTCCCCCCTCTCCACCCCCTCTCCTCCTCTACCTCACCTATTCATCCATTGTTGAGCAAATTCTTCTCCTTCACTCCTTCACAAAGACCCCATCTGCCTCTTTTGTCTCTCTCTCTCCCCCCCTTTCTCCCTTCCCCCATCATTTCTCACTCTTCACTCAGCAAAAAAAAAAGTTTACAGCTCTGTCACTGTGTCCTCTCTTTTTTTTTTTTTTTTACTTTTTAGCCTAACTATATGCAAAATTGGGCAGAGAAATGGGGATTATAGGAGTGTGGGATTTAAACATGAACAATAAAAAGGGGGATGAAATGGGATGTAAGATCCCCCAATTTTAAACCATTTTAGAAATCACTCTCTGTATAAAATATTTAACATTTATACATCAGCTCCTCATCTTCCACATCCTCCTGGCCTGATAGAGCTACAGTCAAAATAACTCCTGACAGTGTACTTGAGGGGATGGTTGATGGACTGATTGACAGACTGTGTTACATTTTTAAACAAGTTAGTCAGGGACAAACAAAATGAGATGAAGGATTCAGAAAAAAACTGTGAAACAAACTGTGTCCCAATCAAAAACTGAGACTAAAACCAAAGTTTTAGTAATGAGTTGTAGATTGAGTGTATGACTCACCTGGGAGATGGCAGGTGAATGGGTCATCCCCAGTGAGTGTCCAGATAGCTGCTGATGCTGATGGTGTGGACTGTGCAGCCCCCCCAGGTGCGCCTGGCTGTGGAGAGGAGGGCTGACTTGGAGAGGAGGGCTGGACGCCGCTGCCATGTTGCCCAGGGACAGAGCTCCCTGGTGGGGGACGCTGGGCCGTGGAACCATCCCCCTGGAGGACAGAGCCTGGAGCTGAGGGTGGATCTGAGTGTGGGGCCGGGGCAGGTGGGGGCCGGGGCTGGAGGCGTGGGAAGGGTGAGACGGGTGAGGGTAAGACATGTACATGCCCGGGTGCTGATGGGGAGGGAGAGAGTGAGGGTGAGGGTGGGAATGGGCGAGTGGACTGGAGGAAGGGTGGTGGCTTGGGTGGCCGGGGTAGACTGAAGGTTTGGGTGTGAACATTGAGGTAGAAGAGGAAGATGTGGAGGGAGAGTGGGACGGCTTCATTTCAGAGGGGTCATTGTAACTCTGCAAAACAAAGTGCAACAACAGAAAATCAGTTTTCGGGCACGAGAGTGACACATTTACAACTTTTAGCAACATCTCAATGCCAATAAAGTGTGTGTGTGTGTGTGTGTGTGTGTGTGTGTGTGTGTGTGTGTGTGTGTGTGGTACCTGTGAAACCAGGCTAGCTCTGTATGCAGCCAGTTGCTTCAGGTACTCCTTCTTAGCCGTCTCTGTCCTTTTCTTGTACAACTGAAAACACAAAAACATTTTACTTCTAACGACCAAACAAACATTTATGACAGTTTACAAACATGAACAAACACTCTGTCTTCAATCACAACATTTCCCTCAGCTGACATCTTAAACACTTAACCACAATCATGACATCCTGAGGGAGCCACCACAACTCTTCTCCGAGTCTAAAAAATGAGCTTGACGTGCCAATTGGAACAATTTTGCAAACTGAGAAATGATGGTTGGTCTCAGCGGTATTGTTTGAGCTGATTTCTCTCTGCTCAGCTGATGATTCCTGTCACACATGCTGAAGATTCACTTTTCCCTCACAATCATCATTCTTGGTTTTATTGAACAGGATAGACATGTGAAGTCTCTCTCCTGGGCTTTCTGTTTGATTCATCTGCGAAAAAGAAACACGGCCAAGAGTCCAGAGCCATGCTGGCTCCTCTGTGATGCAGCAATGGAGGCTCTGGGGAAAAATTTAAATCAGCATGCTCATAGTCTCTTAATGATAAGGCTTCAATGCAGATATAATGTTTATAATGTTTAGCTTATTTTTAGCATGCCATCACATCCTTCTTTGCACATGTAATGAAGCAGAGCTGAGAAAGATATAAATATAATAACAGTATCGATATTTTTTTTAAATAATTATCATTGCATGAATATTGCATTTTGACCAGAAAGCTCAAACTCGGGGTGTCCACAAAGTTAACATACTTTGGTCTCGTGAACATACATTTCCCACTAAATCTTTTTCAGAGATAAATCTAGCTCTTTGCATTTTTTGTGTGTAACTTTTCGTTCTATAAATCTAAAACCTCTATGAAAAAAAAAATACATTTGGAAATATGAAAAAGATCTGCAAATGTCCACGCTATGTACGTTTTGTACTATCAAACAGGCTAAAGTGAATCCACTTTTTATTTGTGTACCTTTGTGGATCTCCATTATCCAACTGTGGATTTGTTTTTGAGTAAAAGTAGTTTATTGTAAATAAGTAAATTACTCTTCTGACTACTCAAACTGTTTTTACACCGCAGGTCACGCCTACACATTCACACACTGATGGTAGAGGCTGCTGTTTAAATTCATACACATTCACACGCTGGGTTAAGTGTCTTTCCCAAGGACACATCGGACATGTGGCTGCAGGAGCGGCTGAACAACTGCCACAGCTGCCCCGCAAACTTTTGTGAACATGATTGATTGTTTTTTGTTTTTGATTGATTAATTTATTTTTGTGTCATGCACACAAAGGGCCCAACCCTTATGGGCTTATAAGACACCAAAGAATTCAGTTGCAGTGGTTCACATTTACAAATCATAACATTACAAAGTTGCCGGCTCCTGTCACAGTTCAGTCTTAAACAATGTGTTCTGTCTTCTTTCCCAGGCTTTACAAACAAAATCTGCTATAACAAAGGTTCCTTTTTCAAAACACAACTCAAGTTTTTTTTAAATCGTCTAGCCAAAAGAAATCAATGTAAATTGAAGACATTCTTTTAAAAAGAACATCCCTGATGTCAGCATACATCTCGTTTTCAGTTTCTCCTAACTCACACAACAAACAAACTCGATCTTCCTCTGGAATGGCATTAAACCTGCCGGTCTCTCCAGCTAAAGGCAATGTTCCTGAACGTAGCTGAAACGTTTATATTTGACCGGTCATAACAATGGGACTCATCTTCTGAATTTCACATTTGAGTGGTACAATGAATGATATCTACCTCTACGCTGAATATGTTATTTTAACAACAGTGTGTTATTATGGGATAGCAGGAGACGTGCTCAGATAAAGAGGGAGGACTTACCTGTTTCTGTTCCTCTCCCAGTCCATCCCACATGGAGGCCACGATCTTTGACACCTCGCCAAAGGTGGCGTTTGGGTTCTGGGCCTTGATGTTGGCCTGGGTGTCCCTGAAGAATAAGGCGTAGGCAGACACCGGCTTCACTGGCTCGTTAGGGTCCTTTCGCTTCTTCTTCTTTGGTGTTTTGGCTTTCTTAGTGATGTCTACAGACGCTGGTCTCTTCTCTGCTACACTGCCCAGCTGAGAGAAGAAAAGAAAAGGTTGAAGTGTCACGCAGGCTGGGATGAAACGAGACGTGTGGAGGGGGAAATATGAAGTGTGCTTCTGGACCAGAACTAGAAAATCTGTTTTTATTGACAAGCTGGTGAAATGTAATAAAATACTGGCACTTTGTGATGGCGGGGTAACCAAACTAGCGCTGGTGCTAACATTGCTAACTGGACTTTTTACACACTAACACACACACACACACACACACACACACACAGTTACTCTCCCACAATGTGGACGAGCAGAGACGCCTGAACAGATGACAGAGGTCAATGCTGCTTCAAACAACCCTACAACGACACAAACAACTTTTGGACCTCGAGTCGGTAGGAAAACCCTAAAAATCAACTGGTCATTGCAGAGGAATGGTGAGAGAACGTTTGCATGTGAAGGACATCGTTGTTGACTTGGCGTGCTCATGACAGCCTTAACAGTGTGTTTTAATGTTGATGATGTTTAGACTAGGCCATAAAAAACAAACTAATTTATCCACCTTATATTATAAAACACAATGTCCCTATTCTCCTACATCTGTGGTTTATTTACTTGGGCTTCCCTGTCCAGTTTGATTAACTTGTCATATGTCATATCATCATGTCATTGTTTATTTTTTCCCCTCTTAAGTGTGGCAGTAAATCACGCTCTTGGTCATTAAGTCTCAGTAGTGTGTAGTAGTGGTTTGTATAATTCATTTATCAGTATAGATATCATTAAGTGTTATTTCACTTAACCGATGTATTTTCAAAGTATACAAGAAGTTTCTCTGTTTTCTTTCTCTGATCATTCCTGAAGAAAGTGTATCTACTTATAATCCTGCTTATCTACAACTTATTCCTCCCTTCATAAGCAATTCAGATAAAAAATATGATTCATAAAATTCCTTAGTACAGTAATGGTTTCATTTTCCCAGAATATGAGCAGTCAGGGTACTTGTATCAGAGCGAGGGAGCTGATTTCCATCTTATCAATATGCAGAAAGAATGGGCCTATTATGACACATAACATTAACATAAAAACAACTCTCCAGTACACACACACACACACACACACACACACACACACACACACACACACACACACACACACACACACACATACCCTGAGTCCGTCATCATTGTCGTCCTCGTGTGCTGAGCTGGAGGGAGATGGTGTAGCAGATTTACTTCCAGGAGGTGAAGGGGAATTGTGGGCAATATAGTTCCTTCCATGCCCCAGCTGTGATTGGTTGATGGTGGACAACTGACTCTGCTGGCTCATGCCTGATTGGCTCCTGGGTCCAAGTGCTGCGTCGATTGGCTGCTGGCTGCTGGTAAACCGAGAGTCAGAGTTCACCATCTGCTGCATCTGTGCAAGACATAAAATGTTGATGACTGTTAGTAAATGGTAAAAAATCACATTTTCACAATATTCCAGTGTGCAACTGGACCTTTTTAAATAAGTGTAGCAACTCCCTCATTATTAAAAAGGCCATATGTGCTAACAGTCTATTGAGTCAAAGCTTTTGGTGGCATTCATTCTGAACAATTTGATCCAAAAAAAATAGGTCAAACACACAAGTTTTTTTTTTTTTTTATCAGTGCATCAGTGTTTTTTCACAATTGTGTGTCACTAGTAACTTCTAAATACCAAAGTGGAGAAAGAGATTGAGTATTAACATTACACATTTTTCATTTCAATTTGCCATAATTATTTAAGAAACAGATTTTAAAGGTCACATCCTCACACCCCAATGATGGGTAAAGTCCATCCTCTCTGTCTTCTGCCTGCTCCACTTTTCAGAAAATGTCTGCTCAAACAGGCTGTTTGGAGATTTTCCCTTCATGACATCACAAAGGGCAGTAGCCCCTCCCCCAGGTGGGTGACACTCCCACAGCTAGGTGTTTGTTCTGCCCTCTGAGTCTGCCTTCTCACCTTAAACAATAGGACATCGAGCGAGAAAGACAGAGTACACACAAGCCCTTCCAGAGAGGGGGCGTGGTCAGACACAGCTCATTTACATATTTAAAGGTACAGACACAGAAACAGCCTGTTCTGAGCAGGGCTGAAATAGAGGGGTTTATAGACATGATCAAATACAGGATCAGAGTGGATTTAGAACAAGAAACTTCACACACATGTTTTGAGGAGCTCTGAGACTTATTTAAACTGATTGAAGAGGAAGAAGATATGTCACCTTTAAGTACGATTTAGTGGAGATAAAACAGAGGTAAGATGGAGGAAATCTCTTGCTTTGCTCCCCTTAAATTAAATCTCAGACTCCTTAATGGACGGTTCTGAAGGTGTGCTGATACAGAGCTACAGAACATCTTCTGTAACAGAGTCTGCCTTTATGTTGCAGCGTTTCTACACTGTTCAACTGTCCAGTTCACTTGTAAATGAAGTCTGATAGTAACCATGGCAACAGGCAAAACAGGTCAAGACAGAAGATGGGATCAGAACTCATTTAAAACATCAACTGCGGCTCGTGCTTAAATACGTCAATAAAAGATGTTTAACTGCCACTGCTACCCTCCAGAGAAGTGGTGCTTTATCTCATTTGAGGGAGAAAACATCGTGGCCACAGGTGCAGGCTGGTCAGATACAAGCACTGGTTTATGCTCTTGTGCATCCGGACACTCAATAATTTGTCAGACGGCTGATGTACTGCTGGATATAAAATGACCAGACATCCCTGAGCACATTTTGTCTGTCTTGTGTCCTGAATGTTTTTTTTTTTAGTTCATAGCTGTCTGTTAAACTGCATGTTTCACACGACACAGTGAGTCTTCAATCAACCTGAAACCAGCTCAGGACTCTTTAGAGATTCATTATTCCTCCACAGTGCAGCAGGTTGGCATAGATGGGCTGGCTTACAAAAAAAACACCAATTTAGTGATTGGTTATTAATTTCCTATTTTTCTAATTTAAATGTACAACGTTCTACTCTTTCCCATCTTTGATGTTGAAGAGTTTTGTTGAGGCACTATGATGGCACCTATGGGCGTGGCCCCCCTCCAAGAGTTTGGTTTGACAATAATTAAAGGCCCGTCTCAAACTGACCCCTGAAAGTCAACTAAATATAATATCTTCATTATTTAAACTGTTTTAAAGCTGATTTAAACATTAGAGTCTGTCAAAGATAAAATAGTAATAAAACACATCATCTGCTATTTCATTGTTTGGTTAGTGATTGTCACTTTTGGTGAGCCCCCTTGTAACCCCTCCTCAGCTTCAAATGCACGAGTAAAAATGCCAGTAGTCTCATAGTGAGTCAGTCTTCATTAACACTCAGACCATTTCTCAGGAAAACAAGACTTATGCACCCTTTGCATGGGAACTTTGACACCCGCTCTAACGAACATGAAGCCGAGAGTCGGTTGATGATGTGTTCTTTGAGTTTCCACTCAGTAAGCATCAAATTAAAGCGGATGTGGTCTGGTGTTCTGCGCCCCTATTGGGAAGATGTCACCAAAACTTGGTTACTGGCAGCAGTGATGCTGCGGTATTCAGACAGAACACCGAGTGACATTTGTAGAACGAAGGAAGAGGTTATTACCCTGATGTACGAGCGTGATGGAGACACAACAAAAACATTAGCTGTGGTTTGGCGCTGGTTGGGTCGGGACGTCAATGAAGGTCATATTAGTCAAAAAACATCATTCCATCATAATCCACCCAATAAACATTTGACCTTAGTCAGAGTGATTTGACTGCTTGCTCATTTGAAAATAATATATTTGAAGACACATACTTAACTTCAAATGAACATTGATTAAAAGAAGAAAATATTTGACTTTCTACATAAGTGTTTTAAAAATCAGTTTTATTTAAATGATTTAATGATGCTGTTAAAACACAAACTGACCAGCTCAGGATAACAAAAACATAAACCAACAAAGAAAAAGTGCCGCTAAGAAAGATTCAGCATCGGACATTTAAATAAAAAGAGGTAATCACGCTGTTGTTTGGGTGTTAAGTTTACCGTCAGCGGTCAAAAGAACACAAATCTAGTAAATAATCACAAATATAAGAATTGATCTTTTATGTTTCAGTGGGTCATATATTATGATATTTCTGCCAATGGTCTCGGAGAGCATCAGGAGGGGAACCTTTGATAAAAGCTGAAAATGTTCAGATTTAAAACCCTGAGATGTTAAATATTTGATCATTTTGTATTTGAATGATTGATAAGTTCTTAAAGTCATGGTAGACTTGATTTATTCATGACGTTTTTTAGACTTAAAACTAGACAGAATAAATCACAGGAGCTCTAATTAAGGTGAGTAGTGTTCGTGTTTGACTCATTTGATAGATAGTTGAACTGTGTTACCCCCCCACCCTCAATGTCGGGGATGGTCGGACACATCAAGTCTTGTTCCATGTTGTTTTAACGTTTATATTTTTATCCTTATACAGTCAAATATCTCTTCATTTAATTACTCACTTTTTTTATAATTAAATATATTATTGTAAATATCAAGGTACTTTTTCTATTGACACATAATTCATTTAAATCCACATGAAAATGTGTTTGATTAGCCGTGCTGTAGACAAAGGTAATGAAAGGATTTCATGTTTGCATGAGAGGTTTATTAAAGTCTGCGTACAGTCTGTTGATTAACAGCCTCTGATCTCTATCACTTCATCATCACCGACTCTCACTCAGACAGCTCACTTCTTCTTGTGAACTCAAAGTCTACTGTTTGAAAGTAATCCCGACATGGTATCATTTACCAACGGCAAAACACAACAACTTATGAAATGACTCCTCATATTTCATCAGCACACAACGGAAATAATCATTCAATCAAACCGTCTGCCAAACTGAAAAAAAAGAGCAGGCAAGATCTCGACGCTAATGGCAACTGAACAGTCTTGTCTCCTCTAGGAATAATACACACACACACACACACACACACACACACACACACACACACACACACACACACACACACACACACACACACACACACACACACACACACTCGAATCTTTATAGCCCCCCGCCCCGATTAGGCTGAGCCAGGCACGGTTGCCAGGCAACCATCATTCATGGGCTGGCAGTAAATGAATGTTAGTATGAGGATATAAAAGCGAGGTAGAGAGACGGAGAAGAAAAGGTTGGGCTGAGAAGACAGAGATGGAAAATAAGATCCTTCTGGCCCTGAAATAATTGTGTCCAGTGTTACGGAGAGAACACAAAGGTTAGTCTGTTTCAGAAAGAACAGAAAAGGTGAGAAGAATCACAACGTCATTTAAAGTTATTTATTTAAAAGAACGGTCTGTTTTTTTTTTTTTTGTATCCACAACACTTAAAGCTGAGAGCTTCTGGTGAGGTTTCAAACTGACAAGTAATATCATGAGGTGGATTCAATATGGAGATGGAAACAAGAGACAGAGAGAGAGTGGGAGGTGACACTTTCATTCCTTATTAGACGAGAAATCTGTATTACATATATAAACCTCTGTCATCCCACTGAATACTCAGTCAGAGTCACTACTAGTCTAAGGTGAAGCTTTCGTATCTTCACCGTGTGACACACAGCCTCGTCTGAATGTCACGTCTAAAAGCCAGATTTTCACTTTACTGTGAAATAGAAACTGAACACGTGAAGAAAATGTCATATCGACCAGCTGCTCTGATTCAAATAACGCTGCTCACGGTAATATCATGTTTCATACAGTGAATCTAAAAGTCTGTAATCACCTGTACAACAACATGGACTATGTCTTGTGCTCTCCTGTCCATATTTTAGCAAATATTGCTGCACATACTGATATGTAATTTTTTTTTTAAATACAGCAGCATAGTTTGACCCTCCTGCTGATATTGACCTCGGATGGTCGAGCTGTTGAACTGAAATTCAAACACTCTGAATCTGTGGCAAAAACCACTGAGATCATTAAAAACAATTTGAAACAAAGTGGTTGGAAATCAAATTCCTGAGGGAAGAACTCCAATCCTTAGAGTTTGCTGGAGGGCATTATACGAGTTTGATGCATCAAAAGAAAATGCAGATTTACCGAGTTCAGTAAAAGCTCGAGAGACTTTAAGAACGAGCCAATCACAAGAACGGGTCATGTAGGCGCCCGAATTCCACTCTTAACAGGTCTGTTATGTAAGTTGGAAGTTTTCCAACAAGAGCCTTAAAGATATATAAAATCCAATGTTTGTTGCGCCTCTCTCCAAGAGAAGGCCGACCGACCCTCTCATACAGGTCACAGTGATGAGTCATCGATCACCTGGTATAAACCTGAGTGTTTGTCAAGTTTCCAGGAATCAAATACATGAAATATGGCAGCCCGGTAAAAACACACTAAACACTGGGTGAATCCATGAAGGCATGCTTCATATGAGCTGATACCGCCTCATATTGTCTCCTTTTAGTCATCACAGATGTCCCAGTATTATTGTAGCTTCTTTCACTCTTTCAGTATACTTTCTTCTTCATATTAACGTAAACTGTAGAGCACTGGAGATCGCCTCCCGTTCAATTTAGATACACATTTGTATTTTTTTTGGGAGCTTTTTACCCCGTTCAGTAGAGATCCCACTTTCCATTAATCCAGATTCTCTTTAAATATATGTTTAAGCACTTACCACAGACAGAGTACTGGTCATTGGACCTCCACTCGGACCAAATGAGCCGCCATCTTGGTTTAACATGGATCTATCTTGGCTACCAGGCATGCCAGGGTGATCCATGCCCTGCAGCTGGTAGGGGTGGTGTGGACCAGAGCTGGAGGGAGGGTCCAGAGGATGGTAAGGTCCAGAGGGGGAACCATGGGGGAGATGTGGGGGCAGCATGTGGTCTGGCAGGGTCGGGGGAGTGATGGGTGGGATGTTGAAGTCCTCATCACCCAAACCACCAACTGAGTACGACTACAGGGAGACAGAGAGAGAGAGACATTTTAAAATTATAATCAGAATCAGAAATACTTTATTAATCCCAGAGGGAAATTCAGTCGTTACAGTTGCTCCTAAATATACAATATAACAGTAGAAATATAGTAAGAAAAACATTAATCAAACAGAATAGGAACGTAAGCAAGATATCAATAATAGGTACAAGAAATATTTACAGGAATAAGAGTCAGATGGAATATATACACACATTTTCAAGATTATTGCACTGTTTGTTTCAATATTGCACTTTGTTATCATGAGACATATTATTATTATTATTATATTGCAGTTTTAATAAATAATGAGTTATGGTGGAGGTTAAAGTTTTTCAGTTATTTTTTTATTTTTTATTATTATTTTTTTATTATTATTATTTTTTTCAGGCTGAAATAGTCCAGGCCTCGCAGTTTGAATTCCACGACTGTATTTGTTGTCTTTGTGCAGAAATACATGGGGGGCTATAAGAGAGCAACGTGTCGTAAACTGTTACTGTCAGAGATAAAAGATAAAAGAGACAGAAAACCTGCCCATCACCATTAGTGCAGAGCGCTTGATCCACTCTGAACTCCAGCTCTGTTATTGTGTCATGTCATCATTCTTCCTCAGGCAGAGCTTCTATCATGGACTAATTATCACTTATTATGACAATCCTATTCTTCATTAAAAGCCTTTTTGAGCACTCAACAACTCTGCACTTTATCAGAACAAGCCCCCTTCTGCCTGAGAGACTACACAAAGGCGGATCGTCATTTGTAAATACATATCAACGCTAATGTGACACGCTAAACATAAAAACCAGCAGCTCCATATATGATGAAGAATCACAGTAATCTCAAAGACAAATGCAAACGGAGACATGAAGAGGGAAATGGAGTGAGAGAATCATGCAAGAGAAGAGTGAGAGAGAGAGAGAGAGAGAGAGAAGCCCTCTCATACTAATCTGACAGAGGAGATCTTTTATAGAGACTGACAGCCTTTTCTGCTTGGCTAGCCACACCAGTCTCTCCCTCTCTTACTCTTTTGCTCTTCATCTCTCGCCATCCTTCTCCTTCAACCTCTATTTTGTTCTCTCGCTCTTTTTAATCTCATCCTTGATTTCTCTTTTCATTCTCCCCTCACTCTTTTCTGATCAGGCTCACACCCGGCTCGCTGTGTTAAAGTGATGAGTTAGCTGACTGAGGAGAGAGAGAAGCGATGAGTTGTGGAGTCAACATTTGATTTGTAATAAACAGCCAACGTGGTACAGCAAGACCGTAAACAGTTTCAATGATTTAAAATTAAATATTTGAAATGATAAAATAAATGGTAAATATATATGAGCTTGTTTATTTATTTTCTAGTGTTCTGACTACTCAAAGCAGGTCACACCTACACATTCACACATGGCAGAGGCTGCTATGTAGGAAGACCATCAGAAGTAACTAATCCATTCATACACAACCAATGAAGCAGTTGGTTGTTGGGAGCAACTTGTGGTCTGCACATGTTGCTGCTGGAGCTGGGGATCGAACCCCCAACCGTCCGGGTGAGAGACGGCGACTCTAAATGATCCACAGACGCCCAATACCGAATACAAACATTCACACACACATTCAAAAGGATCTAATCCAGATTAAGCTAACTTTAGTTAATGCAGGGACACCTGATTTAACTAACTGCACATTGTTCCCTCGTTGAGTCAAAACACCAAGAACTCAATATTACCTCAGTTAACTTCTTCCATTCAGCATTTGCATTCCAGAAACAGGTTTATATTTATATCTTGACTTTAATCAGAATCAGAATCAGAATCAGAATCAGATTTATTGTCCAGGTATGCTTACACACAGAAGGAATTTAACTTGGTTGAACTGTGCTCTCTTATGAACAGGTACAACATTAAACATCAACAATAAACATAAGAAAAGACTAATATTTACATGACTAAATAAGAAGCAGTGCAGTGGAGAATAGTGCAAAAGATGCTGAAGTAACATGATAAGTAAAATGTAGTTATGTGACAAATGGGTCAATTAAGATGTCAATTACAGTATTTACATAAATAAGTGTGTGTATATTGATCATTTAAATTAAATAATATATATATATACATGTATGTATATTCACAGTGACAGTTGGTTTAGAGTCATAAATAATATCCCTACTCAAGTAAAGCTCCAACACTTGATCGTACACTTCTTAATGCAACACAATAGCATTTTAGCTTTTGCAGGCTCTCTGAATAGTCATTTGACTTGAAGTTGGATATTTAAAGAGATCTATAGTAGACACCCAGAGAGACATGTGACAGACTCATGAAGCTCTGCAGCTTTTATGTTGTCGTCTGCTGTAGGTAGAACTACATTTTTTTATTTGTGCCAAAGTGCTTTTACAAACTGCAGATGTGCCATTGCCATATAGAGTTGAAATATCTTACCATCAAGGTAAGGAGACCACAGACTTTTATAAACTGAGGAGGCTTTGGATGCAGAATATCTCATTCTTTGTAACATTGTCTCCTCAGTCCTGACCTTCTTCACTCTTCTGGGTCCCAAATGTGACGCTTATAAGCAAATACAACATTGTAAATAATAAACAAAATAAACCACACATAAACCAAAGTCAAATAATGACATTCTTTTAATCTGTTAGGACTTAAACAGCCAACAACCTTTAATAATAGCTGACTAAACGTCTTCTTCTCGGTACGTGACGCTGTTCAAAATGACGCCGTTCAGACGTGACATGAAAGAAAGAAATCTTAATATCCAGCTGACAGCCAATGCTGATGCCAAAATATTTTTAAATGTGCAGGATAAGAGAGAAGCCAAAGATGTGATGGGAACATCCTAAACTCTTCCCACTAAAGTTCCTGACACACCGAGGAGATCGTCAGCCGTCGGTCCTAGTTGGATCGTCGGTGAGTGGTCGTCGCCCTGGTTTTTATTATTCTTATTTTGGACGATTTGACATGTTGAATCAGCGGTCGGTGAGAGGGATCTCTCTGATTGGTTGTTGGGAGGTTTCATTTCTCTCCAGCTTCTTCATAATCATCCACTATTCCATATTTTGATGGTGTATTTTCAGCATTCAGCGTTCAGAATGTTTTTGCTATCACATTTTATTGAGTGTTTTTATGATCACTTAAAGAACACGATGAACTATAAATAATAATATGGTTGTGGTCAGGAGTTAAAGGAGCATTTCAAGACAGTTCTCTCGTCTTCTCCTTCAATCAGGAATTTAATGATCAAGTGTTTTTAAAGAGCCATCAGCTCATTTAAAAATGAAACCCCAACATGTGCTGTTTTTTGCCTTTAGCTCAGGGAATATGTCTCCAATATGAAACCTCCAACACTTTGTTTATCAGGTCCTGACTAACCATCAGATTCATGGTCTAAGTGGTAGAAACAGCGTCCTGTTGGAGCTTGGAGCTCTGCATAAATTACACTGCTGTCTGTCTGTCTGCCTCTCTCACTCTCTCCCTCGCTCTTCTGCTCTCTCCATCATTTCTCTGAGTTCCACATAAATTACTTTCTCTCTCTCTCGCTCTCTCACATTCACGTCAGTACAATAGCTCGTTCCCTGAGCACTGGGAGCGTCTAGAAAGACTAATGTAGTCAGGATTAAGTCTTTTCACACGTTTTCACATTTCACACTTTGCACGTGGGCATGTTCATGTTCATGGCAGTTTCATACGATAACGGAAAAGAACAAAAGTCAGTTTGACAAGAATAATGTTGAACATCCACACCAGTCTCTGAAACCAGACCGCTGCATTGTGAATTTAAAATTAAACGTTTTTAACTGCTGTGTGAAATCATCTAAATGTATTTATATGAATTAAGATTAGACTCTAAAATAAGAGTGAGAGTTAAGATTCTGCAAACAAAGAAAAGAAATGCAGAGATCTTTCTCTGGTACGACTTGACCCCCCATGTCACCTCAGACAGGCTGTGAAAAACTGGCTTTTGTAATCAATCTTCTGGAGCCCAGACAGTTTAAATGGATTTGATAAGACTAAGACAAAGACAGGTATGCAATTCATTAAAGTGTCCTTAGAGGGAAACTATAAAGACACACATTCATATAAAGAACCAGTCCGCTATAAATGCTTAATTAGCATCAACCCTGTCCTCTACAGTCACATGTTTCAGTCTGATAGAAGGTGTGTGTTATGTGCTCAGTGAGTGGCTCCAGTAGTACACTTCTTATCTGTCAGCAAATTATGTAAAAATGTGCAGAAGTGGGTGAGCGATGGGAGATTCCCTCCAAATCTTTATGGTGGCCCAACGCCTCACCCACTCATACAATCTTCAGGGATTTTTTTTTACTGTCTATGTATATGTGAGAAATTAGAATTTAGAGTATAAACGAGTCACACTGAAAAGAAAAAATCCCGCACACTACGCTTGCTCTGCATTTCAACGTCGTTGAAAAAATGAAAACGTGATTTTCAGAGCTTTATGTCATAGTCAGTATGCACCTACTTCATGAGATAGTTGGATGTGCCACATGCATGTCATGGAGGACTATACACTGAGGCCAGGAGGAAGGTCTGAGCTCTCAGAGACACTCTAGTTCTGGTTGTTAACTTCTAATAACCCGCTGGCCCTGCTCTATTCAAGACTTGTAGATTATTTCAATGAGAGAAGTGCAATGAAACACTGAAGCAGTTTTTAGGTGCATTTAATCGAAGCAGTGAAACGATTCAACACTGTTATCATTATTATTATACAGCTGTGTGTCAGTTTAAGCAGAGTGTGGATAACAATATAATAAACCATCTCTCTCTGTTTTGTATGTGTGTGTATGTGTGTGTGTGTGTATGTGTGTGTGAGTGTTTGTGTTTCTGTGTGTGTGTGTGTGTGTGTGTGTGTCTCTGTGTATGTGTGTGTCAGTCTGTGTGTCTGGTGTGTGTGTGTGTGTGTCAGTCTGTGTGTCTGGTGTGTGTACGAGAGAGAGTTTGTGTGTGTGTGTGTGTCAGTCTGTGTGTCTGTGTGTGTGTGTGTGTGTGTGTGAGAGACAGTTGTGTGTGTGTGTGTGTGTGTGTGAGAGACAGTTTGTGTGTGTGTGTGTGTGTGTGTGTGTGAGAGACAGTTTGTGTGTGTGTGAGAGAGACAGTTTGTGTGTGTGTGTGAGAGACAGTTTGTGTGTGTGTGTGAGAGAGACAGTTTGTGTGTGTGTGTGTGTGTGTGAGAGAGACAGTTTGTGTGTGTGTGTGTGAGACAGTTTGTGTGTGTGTGTGAGAGAGACAGTTTGTGTGTGTGTGTGTGTGTGTGTGTGTGAGACAGTTTGTGTGTGTGTGTGTGAGAGAGACAGTTTGTGTGTGTGTGTGTGTGTGTGTGTGTGTGTGAGAGAGACAGTTTGTGTGTGTGTGTGTGAGAGACAGTTTGTGTGTGTGTGTGTGTGTGTGTGTGTGTGTGTGTGTGTGTGTGTGTGTGTGTGTGTGTGTGTGTGTGTGTGTGTGTGAGAGAGACAGTTTGTGTGTGTGTGTGTGAGAGAGACAGTTTGTGTGTGTGTGTGTGTGTGTGTGTGTGTGTGTGTGTGTGTGTGTGTGTGTGTGTGTGTGTGTGTGTGTGTGTGTGTGTGTGTGTGTGAGAGACAGTTTGTGTGTGTGTGTGTGTGTGTGTGTGTGTGTGAGAGACAGTTTGTGTGTGTGTGTGTGTGTGAGCATTCACCCATGGCAGACGCTGTGAGTCTCCCATGTGTGCGTCTCTCCTCCAGTGCTGTGCCGGCTGGTTGTGTGGCGTCACCTTGTTGAGAGGGTGGGGGGGCTGTGGCACACGGAACTGTGGGAAGAATCACAAAGACAAACAAAGTTCAAATGGACACAGAGGCCAGGAAAAGGTCAAAGGTCAAATGAAAAGGTCATGAAGAGAAGCAAGGACAAAGAGAGAGAGAGAGAGAGAGTGGGCAGAGTGAGAGAGTTTCTACACACACAAAGACACACACAGCCCCAAAAACACTTTAAATAAAGTTTAGGTCATCTTGTTTTTACTTTTATACAGACATCTAAAGCTACTGAACTGAGGGGAAAGGATAATAAAACAAGACGCCCAACTCTGCTGCTGATAATCCCTGATAAGAAAAGGTTACAAAGAGCTGCACAGCTGCAATGAAGGAGGAAAGACAAACACATAAAAACATTATAACCTGATAACATCACTGATGCTAACAGCTATTGTACATCTAGTTCACCTTTTATTCCAGTGTGTATTTCCCTGGTGATCACCATGTCTTTGTTTCACTGCATGTTTTTTGAATTTCTAGACATTCATTACCTGGAGTCTGGGTAAAACCATAACCAGCGAGACGCTCCATGAAGCAGGACAGACACTGAAGCTTTAGATAACAAACAATCTTATATATCTTTATTTACTAAATATAAATTCTGTTAATCTGGCCTTGAATATGAGCCTGGGGAAAATCCCTACTAACTTGAGAGGCATCACAAAGAGCGGTGTGTGTGTGCCTGATCTCTGGTCTTTTTGCATTTTATTTTACTTTTCAGTATCGGCTATATTCATCTAGAGTGATGATCCTCTATCAGCTTCTACACAGCTGTTAAAAGCTTTTATGCAAAGCAGCTGAGAGCTAGTAAACTCTCTGTGCTCCACTCAGTTCTTGAGAAGACACACCTCAAACTGTAAACAACAACAACACACAGTATGAGACTGTTCAGAAATGTTTTGAACCTGAGTTATGTGCACATTTAAGCTAAGTGTGAGTGTCAATGAGTTATTGAGGTGATAAAGTGTGACGTTTCATACACATCAGAACAGACTCACTGGAGCTACATTCACCTGGAAAAAATTATATTCTGTAAATATGTTGTGTTGAATTCTACTCTACATTTAAATACTATTCACTTAGCATTGAGACTTCTTAACTCACAGCTTCAGTGTGCATGCCTGTGTAGTGAAACGTCACATAAAAAGAGCTGTAGGTTGAACTGCATGACGACAAATAACTTGATTCATGTGGCGACAGAGCTTAAGGAACAGGGCTTTTCTCAAAATGCAAATGATTGAGCCTATCCTTTGTTTTAAAGACACAAACATTTAGAAAGCATCTTTATCACAGTAAATCTTGAGTGTTCTTTAATAGTATTTAAATGTTGAGTCAGTAGTAGGGTTGCTAAAATTTGGTTGCTAAATTTTCGGTGAATTTCCCACAAATTCCTGTTAATTCCCATGGAAAGTTTTCAACTTTGAAAATTCCCGGAATTTTGCAACCCTAGTCAGTAGTAATATTTGTTGCAGCTTGTAAACACAACATTCAAACGTGACCCCTCGTCCTGGGCTCATCGCCCCCAGACGCTCACACTCACTACAGAAGTAGTGTTTATGTTTACATGTTGTTCCTACACTGAAGCCTCCACATGCTAGCACAAGGTAACCGTCGTTGTTTGTCACCTGCTTGTCCAACACAAAGCCAACCAACTCGGCATCCAGGAAAAGCCAACCCAAGGTTCCCCCCTTGCTTTGGGCAGGAGCTCTTGCCTCGCGATGATTATGCTTCATCTTCTTTGCTGCAACTTTCACGTCCGTCATATTCACGGATTCAAATCGGGTCCAATCTCTAAATTGTATCCACACCCAAATGTACCATGTGCACCGTCATCAGCTAGGGGAAACACACCAGCTCGCCCAGAAACTACCCGAGTCAACCAAAACAAAACATCACAATCCAAGTGGAGGACAGGGTCTCTGCAGATACAGTCACCACCACACATGTATGGAGGCCCAGAAGGGACGATCGAGTGGCATCACTTTTGTCTATTTTTTATTCTTTTGGAAAAAAGCTGCTGACTCCACCTTTAATGTTTTTTTTCCAGGAAAGTCATTCTGCTGCATAATGTGACTGACTGTGAAATCTTCTTTTCCAAACATGCACAGATTCATGCAGTGCAACTTGTACTGCTCAGTCCTTCTCCCTGCCAGAGAAACGTCTCTCCTTTCTGAACATCTATCTCTCTGTTTCAGCGCTCACAAAGCAAAGTAACGGCTACATTAACCGTTCAGAAATGACAAGGTGGAAAGGTTGGACTGCTCTGAGATGATTGCTCTCGTTCATCACAACAACCTCTGACTTTATAGAAGCAATGGTACTTCAATAATAAAGCTGTGAATTCTTATTCCACACACCACTTCTTATGGCACAACACTATGAATAAAACATCAAATCATAGATTCCTATACTACACAATATTCTCCATAGTGTGCTCTATGAATAATGTATCTCGAGTGGAGTTTCTTATTAATACGAGCATTGCTTTGTTGTGAGGTAATTCTGTTCAAACAAACACACATATGAGAGGCTTCCCTACCCCTTCCCCAGGAAAGGACTTTGTGAATTTAGTCACACAGTCAAATAAAAATAGTGTTTGCTGTTTCTTAGGGATCTAAAAACAGGATGGCTATCACACAGAGCTGAGGTAACAGGACAGCTGTTCATACATCAGCGGCCTGAAAGTGGAAATAAGGCAATCTCTCTCCCCCTCTCTGCTGAACAATTTAATCATAAACATGAAAAATTTTAACTTATGAACAGAGAACAGCCTTGTCCTGTGATGCTAGTTTAGTTTAGCTTCTCTGAGAGGGAAAGATATTACAGTACTGAAGCCAAAATGACCCAGGCCCAAAATCATTCATCTAAAACTCCACAACTTTATCCACAACTTCACCAGAGCAGGGAGACTGGAGGTGCTGGCTCTCTTTTAAACTGTCTACATCACCATGCTTAATTACTCTGGCTGTGTTGTGAAGGGAGTTTTTGGCTTTAATCAGCTGTGTTAGGAAACAGTCAGGTTCTTCTTCTTCCTTATCTGTCTGTTTAGTAAATGACTTTGGACTGGTTTTCATGGGGAGAATAGAGAATGGGTTTAATCTGTGGTTACTGGGTTGTCTTGAGGTGTGCACAGAGCGGTGCTGTGTCACTGTTAAATGATGTAATAAGACTCAGGTGAAGCGGCAGCTGTCAGAGGACAAGTATGGACGCCAACTTGGAAGCTGCTGGACTTGACAGCCGACCCGCACCCATGAACTTGTTTTGAAACCAGCCGTATCTGATGTGATCCAACTACAACAAACAAAACTGGGGCTGCAGTAGCTCAGTCTGTAGGGACTTGGGTTGGGAATCAGAGGGTTGGCGGCTCAAGTCCCGGCACAGACCAAGTCCAGAATTTGGTCTGGTAGCTGGAGAGGTGCCAGTCCACTTCCTGAGCACTGCCGAGGTGCCCTTGAGCAAGACACCGAACCCCAAAACTGCTCTGGAGCGCTCTCTGTGGGCAGCTCCATCACTCTGACATCTCCATTAATTCATGTCCACAGGATCCTGTTTGTGCATGTGTGTGTATTTCTGCCTATGTGTGTGTAGCATGTTCATTAAACAGAGTGTAACACTGAATTACCCCTCGTGGGATTAATAAAGTATAAATTATTATTATTATTATTAAGTGAACTCATAGTCGCCTGGGCTCGTCGCTCATCACAAAGCCGCTCAGTGCGATCCGGGGACCCGGCAGACCGTTAGGTAAGGTGGCCTAGCCTTATGTTTTCCCTGTCTTGAGAACCAGTCCTTTCTGTCCCTGTCATCTCTTGACCACTCTGTCACACTTCAGGTTAGGGCTAGCGTTTTGTTGTGTTTATATCTGCAGCCGGTGCTAACAGCTGCGAGACACAATCTATTCAGTAATCATTTCTTGAGGATTCTCTGTGGGCAGTACAGATCTTCAGCTGATTTGATATGGATATAGAATTAACAAAGCCACAAAATGAAGCTGCACAGTTACATTAGCACAAACATGACGGCAGAGTTTAAGCTAGCCCTTTATTTTATGGCCCTTTTGGCCGTTAACATCCCTGAATGCTGGCCCATGACAAAACTATCGGACATGCTTTGAAAAGATTTAACAGCAATAAAACACAAACTCTATCATTAATTCATGCAGTTATTAAATGTCCTCTCCACACTGTGTAAGCTACATTAGTGTATTATTTATATGAACTTTTATAGTCATCATCACGGCTGACGGCTTTGTCAGACTGACAAAAGGATCTCTGTGTGCTGAGTAAGTGGTGTAAGCGTACACATGGCCTGAGGTCATATCACCCAGCCCCAAGTGGTCTTTTAGTCCTTATATTTAAAGTGGCATTGTTATTTTAAAATCTGAGTTCTTTTTAGTAATTTAGTCATTTTTGTTCTCAAACCTTTATAAATAAGAGATACAACCAAAGGAACAATAAGTGAGCCTTGAATATTTACTTTTTCATGCTTTAATGGTAAATTAAATTAAAAGATATAATCAGCTCACTGATCAAACTGCTTCAAAGCATCACATCCTGCTGAACTGAACAGCCCTACTTCTTTTTGCTGGAGGAGCTTGGAGGTGGACCATCATTGTAAATAGTTTATGTGCCGCAGGTCGAGTACAGTATAAGTGATATTGATTTGTGGAACAGGAAGAGAGCAGAAAGATGGTTTGTTAAAACTGGAAATAGCTGTGAAGACTAAAATAGCTCAGGAGAACCTAATGACCTCATCGGGTAAGATCAAATGATCTTCAGGGAGACTTTAACCATCTGCTCCCTGTTCAAGCATCTTCATCAGAGCGCTCTTAATGCTAACAGGTTTGAAACTGTATGTTGAACTTTAAAATCACATTTTTATAATTATATATCTATATATATATATATGTGTGTGTGTGTGTGTGTGTGTGTGTGTGTATATATATATATATATTTTTTTTTTTTTTTTTACAGCCCAGTACTTTGTGTGCATACTCTACTCCATGTTGACACTTTCCTCCTGGCTCTCATTTTTGCTGTTTCACCTGGTTGGGCTGTGCTCAAAAAAATCGATATGGCAATATATCGTCATGTGCTTCGTGCAAATACATGTATCGATGCAGATGTTACAGAATCGATGTGGCTGCACAGCTGTGATGCGAGTTTATAAAGATAATTGATAATGGTGCAGTTCACATTAACACCACAGCCACAGCTCTGGGATTAAAATATTGTATATGTATTTCTAGGATCTCTGAGGAACTGGTTTGATGCCTCTGACTTACGCCTCTGCTGTTATTCTCAACGATAAAGAGCAGCTGTGGTAGTGAATTCTGTGTGGGGCATTATCCAAAAATCTATGTTTATCACGATATGTATCATAATCGTGGAGTTGTGGGAAATAGCCAGCTTTACTTCCTGGTCAAAGCCCTGCGCGAGAACTGTGGAGCATGTGCAGAACAGCAGGGCCAGTTTAGTGTGAGGTGTAAACATGCAAGAGTAACTTTAACCCCAAACGCTTTATCCAGGTTGGTTATTACGACTTCAGCTTAGTACAACATTTCAACACTTATTTAAAAAGTCCAGTTTCAGTTTGAAAAACACAATAATAAACTTTTTGTCATCATGTAAACATCTTCTCATACGTGATACAACATGGTTTGTCCTGGGTAAATTAAAACAGCTTTTCTAAAACAACTCTTCTTTTTTTTTACTTTTCATTACCATGAACATCTTTGTTTTGAATTTTGTGATTTCTCCAAAAAGAGTGTTTTGGTCGGACGCAGAGCTTTCGATTCCTTTGGGAGAGGTGTTCACACACTTGATTTTGAAATGAGCTCCTTCTTCTCACACACACACACACACACACACACACACACACACACACACACACACACACACACACACACACACACACACACACACACACACACACACACACACACACACACACTAACCTGATTGGTTGAGGGAAAGTCAAGGCCTGCGTCTTGCACACCCAGGAACATGGTGTCCCCATCCAGCTGGAGAGAAACAGGAGAACAATGTCAACAAACTATGACCAAACACAGCAAACAGAGAACAGCCAATAAGAGAAGACGAAGCTTACAGATAACCAGGTAGCTCGCAGTATGAACAACAAGTCACTATCTTATTTATTTAAATAATTTATTTCTTTATTTTATTTGTACTTTTCTACTCTTTTACTCGTTTTTTTCTACTCAGGGAGAAACGCACAAAAATTCCAATTCCAGAACAGTCTATCTACAGACTTAGGGCCCTGTTGTGAATGTTGGACCAGGTGACTTTGATTGGCAGAGGTTAGTGGGCAGGAGGGGGGTGTAGACCTGGATTAGAGAGTTAAGGTATGGAGCCCTTTTTTGTCCCTGTTCTGTAAGCGAGCAGGGTTTTGAATTTGATGTGCTGCCTCAGGTTGGTTGGAGACCAGTAACACGGCTCTGTTCTGGATCATTTGAAGAGGTTTGAATGATAATCTTCTCCAATGATCTCTCCAGTAGATTAGGGTAGAAAAAAATCAGTTCACAACAATAACAAAAGTAAGAAATGTACATTGGACAAGTAATTCTGATATATATATATTTTTTAATCTAAAGAGAGCTTTCTTCAGAAGAAACATTTTTGATGGTTCATAAAAAATATCCTCACTTCTTTTTCTTTTTCCCAGCTCAATCCCTTTCTCTTTCCATGTTCTGAAGCTTCCTTCCTATATTCTGATTTATATAGCATACATGTGTTTTTCATTGGTTTCTATTTTTACAACAGCTTCATTTTCATGAGCCAAATCCTCACAGGGTCTTTAAAGTGCTCGAACTTCATCATCAAAAAAAACACTCAAATTGTCAGGGTCCATTATTGATTGTGCTGCTGATTAACTTTACACACGTGTTGGACAAATGTCACTCACAGCCGGAGGATATCGCTGTCAGACAGGAGGGGGGGGAATCTCAAGAGGAGAGACATGACGTCAGAGGAATGAGAATTCGTGCAACCTGTAGTTCAACATCATCAACAGCACTATTCAAGAGTGGAGGAGAACATACTGGTGAACAGAAAACAGAATGAAGCAGATTTAAAACGTGCACAGAGATCGCATAGAACCATTCGCATACAGTCTATGAACGTCTGATATATACCTCCAACCCCCCCCCCCACTCACTTTGAATCTTAGTAAATATTTTCTGCTGACTTCACACATCAGCTCACCCTGACTTCCAGCCGACAAAATGTACTAGGAGGCTGGCAGGAAAACCGCTGGGTAAATCTGGAATCTGTTTGCGTTCACACAAACCTGAAAAACTTCAGAAAGTTTCAAGGAGTTTTGTGTGTGAAAGCATCATTTTTGTAATCTTAAACGTGGTTGAGAGGGCTAATTCATCAGATCGGGACAAATCGAGAAAAAGTACGTGCTTGACTTTAGAATAACTTGTTAGTTAGCAGCTAGCTAGTTAGCACCTAAGCCAGGCCTTACACTACAACTTTTTTTATTTCTTTGTCTGAAAAGTGACTCATCGTGATATTCGTCAAATGTGTCTTTTATTGATCATTTTCAGTGGCTAGCTAATTAATTATTCTATTTCAAGAGTCGACCTGCAGTTTCCATTACAGGTGATACCAGATAACAACAAACACATAGCGCTCTGAATCCATAAAGCATATTCAAATCACTCATAGAATACCAGGTACACACTCATTGTCCATTGTCTGGGTTGTTAAACACACAAGAAGAACATTTGAACAGGTGGATACACACACACACACACACACACACACACACACAAACTGTCTCACTCACACACACACACACACACACACACACACACACACACACACACACACACACACACACACACAAAGATGGACAGGTGGACGGGCAGGTGTAACTGCCCTATCCATTCCCCAGCTGTTGGGTGTTATGCAAATGAGGTGTAGGTTTACAGAGTCAACAGAAAAACAGTGTTTTATCATGTGACCTAACCCCAAACACACACACATGATATGTCTTAATTAATGAAATGTTTTAAATGACATTATAAACATGTATGTAGTGGATGAGATCTGTTCATCTGCCTCGTCTTTCTTCTTCCTCTCTGGGACAAAACAGAGATCCGAGACAAAGCAGACAGGCTGACCTCACTGTCACATCACGCTCTTCCCTTCACTTTTTGACCACATGCTGCACATGAAAGTGTGAGATAGAGTTAGTGAACATCTTGCAGATTCAAACATCCTTCCTGCCATTATCGTGTGTTAAAACAAATCCCCAAACTCAACCTTTTTATCTCGATCCATAAAGTTCTCCCGTAAAGGTTACAAAACAAAAGACAGGATGTGTTGTTGTTATGCTCGCTTTAAAATTGTTACATGTTAGGAGATATGTGTTACCTTTCACCAAATCAGGCTAAAAGAAAGAGCAAGTTACAGATGTTAGCTATGAGGCTAATGTTTCCCTGCGATCCCCAATAATAAGCACTATCAGACGAGAAGAACAGAGAAAAAAGCCAGGGGAAAATAATGATGATTTTTTTTTGTTGTTGTTTTCAGCTTGCACTTGGTGTGAGAGGTAAAGTAAAACAGTGTCTCTTAAACCTTTACTCTGGTTGGTAGCTTATGTGTGCCAAGATGGCCATCGCTTCGGCGAGGAGAGAGTTTGGTGAGGCTTTAGAGAAGGATGTTTCCCTCAAGGGAGTAACTTTTAAATAGTCCTTTCCACACACTAATCCTGCAACAGTGTCAGAACAAACCTCTGCCATAACCCAGCCTTTCCTCTAAACCACACAGCAGCCCAATAAGTGTGTCTAAGTGTGTCATGTACACGATGTTACTGTGTGCTGGAGGAATCTGTTATGCCTTTGTAACACATTTTTTTTAACGTTGCCTGTTCAAGACCGGACTGTTGTGCTCCTGTTGCAACATGCCGTCAATAAAATAGGGAATGTTTGTCCATACTGAGGTGTTGAGAAAGAAAGTATGAGCTGCACCCCCCGGAATCAGGATCAGCTTTGTGTGCACATACAGGGAATGTGACACATAAACAATTATTAACTATGCATAAAATCATTTGAAAAAAAGCAGGGGGGGGGAGTGAGGAGGAGGAAGCCAAAGTCTGGAGCGGCTTCAGTCTGAGCTGGATCCGACCGCACCAGAGGACCCGCTGTTATTACGCTGTGTTAGGGTTCAATTTAAAAGTACAAAGGCAGAGTGATGCCGGAGATTCTTTGCAGTATGTCAGTATCTCAGTGTTAAAGCACTTGTTACTACCTTCAAGAAGCTTAAAGACTCGGCCCCACTATTGTGCATATTAGACTAAGTAAAAGGTGCAACATTGGCATTCAACTGGCAGTCTGTAACGACCGAGGGTCTGCAGAGGTCCCAGGCGCCTTAAAATGTTGTATATGATGTGGTTCTGTTAGTCCAACAAACGTTGACCTCCAGCATTCACTTGGGGGGGGGGGGGTTACAGCCCAGTGTATGCTCCAAGTATGAGGCTATTGTTTGTGGCCCAAAAAAGTAGGACTACTTCTCCTTCTGGGTTAAGAATGTCCAAAGTGAAAGAGCTCAAGTATTTCTGGGTCTTGTTCAGAAAAACCGGGTCAAATGGACCATGAGATTGAAATGAGAAATGATGACTCTGCAGGCGAAACTGTTGTGATAGTAAAGGTGCTGCGGAGACAGAGGCTGAGGCTGTTGTTTAACCGTAATATTAAGGTTTTCACTCATGAAAGAATACAGGTGACTCATATAGGTGTCCTCTGCAAGCGGCCGGGCTCAGCCCTAGAAATAAAGCCAGAGAGCTCAGTAGAGTAGAGAGGCTGCTCTTCTGCTCGGTCAGGGCGCCTCCTGGTCACTTTTCTTTAGAGGCTTTCTGCGCACATCCAACTAGTAGGCGGGTTTTTATATATATATATATATAAAAATATATAGTGAATTGTATATATCTTATCTCTCAAAGGAGTTCCTCAGGATCCCCCAAGAGGAGCTTGAGCTGCTGACCTGGTGCTACTGTGAACAGCACCATTGAAAAAGGAAAATATTATAATTTCCTATATCAGTGTAATAAGATAATCCACTCGAAGTCATAGCCAATGCTTTTGACATATTTTACATTTTAATATATTTTTATAATTGAGACAATAAATCAGGGCACAGCTGAGGCAGCACCTTTATTTCTCTTTCTGGACTCCATGGTTATCAATTTATAATGAATCAATGCAGAGATATCTTTAATCAAAATGAAAAATAACTTATAGATTTGGCTTTTAAAAAGGATAACTGTTCTTTGTAAAGTTCCCGAGTATCACGTCCTCTCTTGCCTCTACAAGAAGTATCTTTTACAGTATCTTTGTTTTTTCTGGGTGAACATCTCGAGACAAAAAAAGGAATAGCAAGGTTTGTAGTCAAACCAAATTATCTCCTCTCTCTCTCTCTCTCTCTCTCTCTCTCTCCCCCCTTCGTTCCTCTGTCTCTTACTCTCTCATCTCTGCTGCTCCTGTGTGTGTGTGTGTGTGTGTGTGTGTGTGTGTGTGTGTGTGTGTGTGTGTGTGTGTGTGTGTGTATAAATATGTGCGAGTAAAGCAAAGGTTTGAATAACAAGCAGCCAGCTAAGTGGGTCAGGGTCGGAGGAAGGGGGGAGAAAGGGGAAGAGAGACTATTAGGATGACAGACAAGGACAAAGGAAAAAAAAAAGAGGAATAGTGTTATGTGGAAAAAGGAGCAAAAGAAGGAAAAGAAGGAACAAGAGATTGGAAGACAATACAAAATATATTTAATTAGAGGAGGGGGTAGTAAGTGAAGAGAAAAAAGGCGTAATGTGTGTTATAACAAGATGGATAAAAATGTGTGGACTGTTAACTCCGATTTCTAAATGCTGAAATAAAGTCGCTCAGTGTTCAGTCTTTAAGATATGCTTCGGATATGTCATGAAAATAAAAAATATTCTAATTTATTGTTGGACTTTCTGAAAATCTCTTGGAAAATTTGGGCGATAAAATGACATGAGAAAATA